GGTTAGAACAGGTGTAAATGTGTGGTTAGAACAGGTGTAAATGTATGGTTAGAACAGGTGTAAATGTGTGGTTAGAACAGGTGTAAATGTGTGGTTAGAACAGGTGTAAATGTGTGGTTAGAACAGGTGTAAATGTATGGTTAGAACAGGTGTAAATGTGTGGTTAGAACAGGTGTAAATGTATGGTTATAACAGGTGTAAATGTGTGGTTAGAACAGGTGTAAATGAGTGGATCATGCAGGTGTAAATGTGTGGTTGGAACAGGTGTAAATGTGTGGTTAGAACAGGTGTAAATGTGTGGTTAGAACAGGTGTAAATGGGTGGGTCATGCAGGTGTAAATGTGTGGTTAGAACAGGTGTAAATGTGTGGTTCGAACAGGTGTAAAAGTGTGGTTAGAACAGGTGTAAATGGGTGGATCATGCTGGTGTAAATGTGTGGTTCGAACAGGTGTAAATGTGTGGTTAGAACAGGTGTAAATGTGTGGTTCGAACAGGTGTAAATGGGTGTTTAGAACAGGTGTAAATGGGTAGTTTTAGTATTTGTATATGTGTGGTTAGAACAGGTGTAAATGGGTGGGTCAGGCTAATTGAGGACTGATGGAGGTACAGAGGTTTATGGCATTAAAGAGTTCAACAGAAAACACAAAGTGAATAAATAAAACCAAAAGCACAAAAAAAGAACTAAATCTTATGATCCTGACACCTAGCTTTATTCCTTATTAAAATAACTGTAGATTATGAAAATTAAATTTCTCTTTGTCATTACTGATGATAAACTGAACTGGAAACCTCCCATCAGATATGTTCAAAGTAAAATAGCCAAAAGTATTTATTGAACAAAGCCAAACGTGTACATTCAGTACTGTTCTGTAGTTTTACCTTATTTAAGTTATTGCACAGATGTTTGAGGAAATAATTACAAAACAACACTGAAGGACGTGCATTCTGTTTACTAAAGATTTTTAAATGCATCACACATAAAGTTTTGTTCCTAAGAGAACTAGGGTATGTTCTGGTAACTTATTTTGCAAAATAATCTATTTTTATATGATTTAGTGACATGCAGTCTGCTATGTCATGGTCATTTCTAACAGAGTGTGCTCTTTCAATATGACCAGTCAATACACATCTGAAGCATTTCCAACATGTAAGTATTTTAACATTAGAACTCAGTTTTCTATTGTCTAAGGGTTTCAGGTCACATGATAGGGAGAGCACCCAGTTTATGTGACAGCTTGCCTCTAAGGAGTGGCCAGAACCAGAATGAAGTGTATCTGACCTCCCTTCCTTGATCAGCACCATTACAAGGATCAACAAACTATTTCTACAATCAAAACAGCTAAAACTTATCGACAGAGTCAAATGACAAACAGTTCTAACAATAACAAAAGCAAAACTTGACCTGTCAGAAAATATTCAAAAACTATTCAATAAAACAGAGGTTATGAGTTTTATGTCAGTATCAACATGTTGAAGATTCCATGTTTAAGTGCTTGTGTGCAGCTGGCCTCAGTCCAGCTTTAATCTGAGTTTTCTTTGTTTTTCTGTCATAAAGCTCAGACTGGTGAAGAACCAGGTCAACAGGTGCAGCTGGATCTGTCTCATCCCACCTTCTTCAGGGTGGTCTCTCACTCTCTGAGTTCTCCTGCTTTGTCACAATCAGACTCTTTAATGCTTCCTTTATCTTGTTTTACTTTGAATATATTTTTTAATTTAATGTCTTTAACAGCAATTACTTCATATCTGATCATTATTTCTATGATCAATTAGAATTGATTGAATTTGCCATTTTTGTGTTTGCTGACTTCAGCTGGTCCGCCATTTTGGATAAGTGAATAGCATTACCTATG